GGGGGGGCACAACGTGAAGACGACGAGGCAGTGTCACCGAATAACTGCGCTAAGCCCTCGGCGTCTGGTTAATGCGCAAAGCTCTCGAATGCCAGAAACTGCGACGAACGACTGGCGTTCCAGTCAGTCGGCAGATGCTCGCTCGAACGGCAAAGACGAGCTCATCGAGGGAGATCAAACAAGCAGCTGAGGAAGCAAACAGGCTGCTGGCGGCATCGCTTACGGCACGTGATCAGAAATTATAAATAGGCGGAGGCGCAGGGTAGTCGGAGGACTAAGTATCGAGTATCGGAAGGAGTCGGCTCCTCTCGGCTCTGTGCAGTGCTGCCTGCCGTTCACAGCGTTCGTTCTCCTCTCCTTTTCCTCCTCCTTCTCCTCTGGCAACCGAACCACTGTTCGTTGTTCACCTTCGTCGCATCTGTCGTCTTAAATTGCCCGGATCTCCTGATACTTCTGGCAGCAACAACCCTCGCACGCCTCGTCTCGTCACGTGGATGTGATCCTGGTTCGTCAGCTGGCGGACAACATGTCGAGCGACGCGGAAGAGCAGCTTAATCGCTACATGGCTGTCAAAGTCGGACTTACCCCGGCACAGGTGAAGTTCCTCAGGAACGAGTTCAAAAAGTACGGCCGCAACCCCCTGCCCAGCTCTCTCGAGATCATCGCCATTGAAAACGGATTCGACGAGAACAAAGTCAAGGTGAGTAAACACCTTTCTACACCGTTGCAGAGCACATGCCAGTAGGCGCATCAGTCAGCTATTGATTTCCTCCAAAACAAGGGTGCAACTGCACACGCCTCATTAACCAATTTTCGCTTTTGGCCTGATTGTTCAAAACCGAACAAAATTACAAACAACTTTAATCCCTATAAACAGCCAAACATCAATAATCGGTTGAGTTTTGATGAGGAAAAATCCAAAATCAAAAAATTAGCTTTACCGCTAGTTTTCATTTTAAATTTAATGTTGCACGTTGTCCTGGCGAGCTAAATTTTAATATATACCTTTCTAAACATATAAGTGAATGCCCTGCGGTGGGAATCTAATTCGCGAACAAGCATCAGTTTGCATATAGGCAGTACTGTCTTGGTGTGTTTCGTTTCACTCTCTGAAGACAAATCAAACCGAGTAGCATCTGAAACGTCGAGGATTTAGTACATAACAAAACGCCTTGAAACTATTTTTTACATTTAAATTCTTACTCATATTTTAATTTCAAACCGTCCTACAACTATATTATGACAGTAGGAAAGAAAAGGAGGAAAGAACAGTTCGTTGCCAGCGGCTCTTTAACATTTTCAGCATCATGGACCAGCCGCGGAGCCATTTATTTCATCTTTTTAGACAGAATCTAGAACTATGTAAAAAAATACAGCGCCTTGTCACATGTTTCCTAGCCATAAAGTGCCACTTATTTACCAACCTCAAAAAAAGGCGAGTTCGACCTTCAGTCAAGTGACCAAACGTGATTTGACACAAGCATTGTAACCGGTTCTGCGATGCAACAGAAGAGGACACGCAACGAGGGCGGAAAAGTTTTACTAAAAGCGAATATATACATAGGCAACAACAGGTTTCATCCGCCATCGACCCCGCCCGTTATTTTTTACGCATAGGTTATCTTCTACCCTTTCCGCAATGGGAATAACCCTTCTATAAATCTGCGGATCCTATGTTCACCTTTGAGCACCAATCCGCGCTAATCAGCTGGCTGTAAAGCACCTCCGACCCAAAACGCCTCTAGTAAGAATATCCAGTCGTTGCGCTGTACCTGCCCTGATTTGCACCTTCACTTTGGTCATTGAAGCCTACCGTGCTGGTGCAAAACCAAGCACAATGTTGAACAGCAAATGACATTGTCGGCTGTAACACAATATGAGGGTTAGACG